AATCGTCGTTGGCTCAGGTCAGCGACTGAACAATAATCCCATTAAAGTTGTCCAGGTATCTTCTTCTGAACAGTTCTCATATACAGATTCTGAAGGTATTCTGAAATGTTATGATACCGGAGTTAGCACGTGACTCGCGAATGACCATTGTAAGCGCGAGAGAGATCAGGAGAATAGAATCGCGTGGAATTCTACAAGTGCGCGTTTTTGTATTTCAGCGTATTCAAACAAAAAACAGTTATGCAATAGACAAAATACATAATGTTACGGTCGTAGCAAAAGAAAGATACAAAATACTACAGACACATGTTAGGCTAAAATGACCCATGGGTGCTGTTCCTCCTGTAAAACGCAGTCGGAACCCGATTATCTGGTCCAGACTGAGGGGAATGCACTTATAACAGAATACCCATTATTATCTATCGCTAACCGACTTACTCAGTGAAACTAATTAGAAGGACTGAACTTCGAGGTCGTCCGCGAAATGCCTTCAGAGCTTGACCAATCAACTCCTAACAATTAACCTGTCTCTCAGCCGAGCCTCGGTTGCTTTTCCCGATCGGTCATGGCCACAGACGGATCTGGTGATAAGATCATAGTGTGTGACAATGGAACTGGGGTAGGAGTGTCAGAATATAAATACAAGAAAATTTCGGTTTTCAGTTCGTTAAATGTGGTTATGCCGGGTCAAACTTCCCTGAACATATATTCCCTTCGATGACTGGCCGCCCTATGCTTCGGGCTACTTCGAATATCGGGAATGTTGAAATGCGGGATATCATGATTGGGGATGAGGCGAGTGAACGTCGTTAGCTTCTGGAAATTTCATACCCCATGGAGAATTGGATTGTCCGTAACTGGGATGATATGATACTCCTCTACGACTACATTTTTGGCCCAAAGAAGATGAATGTCGATCCCAAACATTCGAAGATCCTACTGACGGAACCGCCGCTGAACCCTCTAAAGAACAGGGAGAAGATGGTTGAAGTTATGTTCGAAAAATACGGGTTTAACGCTGTCTACATAGCCATCCAAGCGACTCTCACGTTATATGCGCAAGGTGAGCAATCAACTTTGTCTCTAACATTCATGATTACTGAGATTCTTGACCGGTTGAGTCGCAGACTCTAACTGCACTTGATTCGGCTTCACAACTTCACCCTGTTTGCGCCTAATTAACGCTTAGCGTATGAAGATACTGCGATGAGAACAGATGGTACAATGGGCCATAATACACTGTTATCTATCGTGAATCATCTCATCCAACCAAATTAGTGCCTGGGGGCAAAGCCCAAACGAGCATTCCACCCGCTCTTCAAGACCGGTTGACATCGGTGTCTGCAATGTTAGACCATTTGTTCAGCACACCAAGTAGCATTCTCTGCCCCATCCTGCTACAAATCCTTCCATTTTTACCCGGAATTCCTCGATTCACACAGATTGGGCTGCTGTCATTGCCGACGTACAGATGTTAGGATTTGATGTCTCACCCGTGGTGCTTCCAACCGTGGCGAAAGCTGTAGCTTTAATGCTCCAGTGAATGTCTGACACATTGAAACATGCTCTGAATGTGGTCGGATTTTGGTTTAGGACAGGTTCATCAGAGGTCATCCAATGGCACTCAGCCTAAGTCCTTATCGGACGCTCTATATGAACGTGATTTTTTAAATGAGAAATTCTGTTATCTAATCGTATCTGTTGTCTGATGGTACTAACCCGAAGCGTGAATTTTTTGAGGACGAACTTCCGCCCCTTTCCGTCATTCCTCCAAGTTACCTACTCTTAACTCATTTCGAGTTTCAGTTTCGGGTGGTTACAAGCGAAACATGATTAGCATCTGCACACCTGATATGTCAACCTTGTTTGGTTCTGTTGACAACGCCAGTTTTTACGGTAGCTAATTAGTGGGGAATGTGCTTCTTGGATGTCGCCCTTCAGTTCAGTTGTGTGGTTCAGTCAATCTTCCGTTGTGTGGTTCAGTTAATCTTCCGTTGCTACTTCTATGACGCAAGCTATTCGATGTTTCAAAGTTTATCATGAAGGCTTCGTACTGAGCCAGTACTTATGGTCCCAAAGATGCGTCATCGCAGGCGATAGATGATGCTTTCAGCTTCTGTTGCGTAAGTTTATCTTTGTAGTTACTCTTTGTGATGACCTTTGGTGAGGCACCAAACTAAGTTTTCCTGATTTGGAAACTTACGCGTTTCGGTAAAAAATCCTGGCCCCCCGGGCAACATATTCAACATTCCAAACTAGCTGTTATTCCACTGCCAAGCTGCTATCTCAGCAGTCTTAATCATGTGAATCTTCACTGACTTGGGAGCGTACTAATGCAAGTTACTTTTTACGTCACATTTTCCTTCGACGGATGTTCATCACGGTTATCGTAATCATTTTTCACCACCAGTAACACAACTTTCCTGCTTGTTATTACGTCCGCCATAATACGGAATCATCGTCACCATGAATAGCATGACATCACTGTTCAACACGGATACTTCGCTGCCGTACAACAATGATTTATCCGAAGGCCTTATGGTAAAGAAAAAGGGTGGGTGAGGGAGCGGACCTAGTGCTGGCCAATGTCAATTATTCTGAGGTGCCTACACCTTCAGCCACATTCAGACAATCCAGTTAGGAGCTGACAACGCGAACGCCATTGACATCGATTGACAGTCGTCTTGCAGCATCTTCAACCAGGCGCATTTGGGGTCACGCGGTCCCCACCCTGAAAGGCGAGTAACATCAACTGCACCCAAACATTTCGTAATCTCTTCCATACACTGCCAGCTCAAAGGCTGGCTACCTCTAGTTATGTCCTTCTGAGTCGGGCATGGGGAGCAGCACTGTCTTCAACAAATGATTCGGCATACGCAATGCATGATTTAACCAACGCAGCTTCAGGTGCTGGACACGCTCTTCAGTGAAAGTGCCCGTTGCACAACCGAAAACTCGCTTTCTAATAATCCCATCATGGATTCGCCGGCGCCAACCCACGCGAGCTATGGCGACGACACAGCGTTTATCGAACACCTGAAGACGTCTCAGTTCCACTGTTGGGACAAGCCAAGTTTCGCAGCCATACAACAAAACAGTCCGTACCGTAGCCTGATACACATTCCTTGAGATTCAGGGATATAGCGCATTGACGCCAAAAGTGTTTCAAATTAACAAACACAACCTGGGCCTTGCACATTCATGCATCGACCTCATCAGTCACACTACAACCAGAGCTAATACAACTTCCAAGATGCGTAAAACGCTCCACAACTTGAGCGTCTCTCCCTGGATGGTACTTGGCTCGTTTCTTGACCGTATGTCACGGTCTCATCGGAGATTTAGTGTTTGGATGAGGTTTGCCGGGTTCTACTTCAAACAGACTTGGCAGCGCATTGGATATTTGTTTCCGGTGGCCGTTACTCTCTGACATTGGACCAGCCAGCAGGCGTTTGAGGAGCAGGTTTTGATAGGTGTGTGCTAAGATGACCACCGAATAGGTCAGTGCTAATCTTACCTACCTGGGCGTTCATGCCAGCAGCAACCACAGCGATGTCTGAGCTTTTAGCCTGTTGTAAAAGAGCATCCAGGTCATCATAGAAACTGTCTTTGGCAGATTCAAAACTAGTCACTTGTAGCGTAAGCAGACGCAACAGGTTGCGATGGACCTCGCCTTTTCAAGACTATCTCATACATGCTGCCAAATAAACCACGCAGAAGCGACCATCAACGGGTATCCAGTCAGTTAAAGGGACTTCTACTCAGTGGCTCGACACCACTCACCCAAGCATATCCAGCTGCGGCAACCAGATGTGTGCAGCGACAAGCTGGAAGAGGGCGACAGAACACTCAGTTCAATCAGTGGAAATGGAATACAGCGTACTAGCAAGATGCCACTAGTTGTCCTCCTTGCTTCAGTTTGCGTATACTAAGGGCAGTTGGGTTTGAAAATAGTCTTCGAAGTGTTTAGGTTTGTTGCTGAGGCCGGGTGTACAGAAGCTGAAGTTGGGTGTAATGCACAGCTAGCAAAGCAGTCAATCCCAGTAGTGGGACGTGCGAAGAAAAAAATCGCTCAGCTGTGGCACCCTTCCGGTGCCTAGCTGCCATGCTACCCGAAGGAAGCAGAAGGACTGGGATACTGCCAGATTGCCCAAGCCTAGACAAGGGAGGTCGAGGGGCAGAGGTCGGGTTCGAACCACGGACCTTCCGGTCGGTAAATTCGCACTCTAACCACTTGAGCCATCTCGCCCCCCATGTGCGCAGAGTGTTCAAATAGAGGTGGGGTATGGTAGAAGGGGGAACACGTGAAAGTGTAAGATGGGCCGCGTCAGCAGTAGCATGTGTTCGCTTATCTGCCCTGCTGTATGTGCCAATTATGGCGACCTGGCTGTGACGGTCGTTGTGGGCACGATAGTACTGTTAGTTATAAGAACCATGTTTGTACATGGGCTGGGATACTCTGAGGGCATATAGATCTATACGAGAGGACGGTTAGGGCTCTCAACCAGTGCCTTTGGCTTAAAAGCCTAGCGGGTAATCTAAGCACATTACCATTTTTATAGGTCACACATGTTCTAACTCCCAACCTGGGGAACCAGAAGACTATTTGGATAGACTTCCAGCCATTCATCATCCTGGTAGGAGAGGCTTTCTGTCGAGATGACACGGTCAGTACAGCCCAACGGGTCGCGGAGGTACACAAACCGTCACACAACGGTAAGGTCCAGTCTCTTCGTGGCGGATGTTGTACTGCAAATTGGAACCCTCTTTAGAGAATTTACATTCTCTTGTACCGGCGTTTGTATTTTCATTATTAATGACTATTTCAGTTCAGTGGTGCCTTCTGTTGTGTTTATGACTTTCATTCACGCCGACCGGCAATGGTGGAAGAAACCCTGCAATTATAGCGAGAGTGATAATCATTCAGCTGACAATGATGATGATGAACACCCTTCCGGTGCCTAGCTGTCATGCCACCCGAAGGAAGCACGAGGACTGGGATACTGGCAGGTTGCCCAAATCTAGAGAAGGGAAGTCGAGAGGCAGAGGTCGGGTTCGAGCCACGGACCTTCCGGCCAGTAAATTCGTGCTCTAACCACTTGAGCAATCTCGCTCCGTGGTGTGACGGTGATAGGTTAGCCTACTTCCACATGCTGTCTAATCTTTCTGAAAGGTCATGTTTACCTCTTTCTGAAGACAACGTCGTACTTCATATAACATTTTCCTCAAGAGGATTCCGGTGGGGATCTGACACATTATTTAGTTTTAAGTTGTTTCGTGCCCTCAGTTTTCCTTTGGCTCATAAATAGTTCACCTTTAGTAACCGAATTTCACTTTGAGGGTTATCATGAATAGCCTGATCATCATTGCCCTTTGCTATGTGAAACCCACTGGTTTCGTTTTTCGACACGTGCTACGCTCAGTTCTTTTCCAACGTCAAAAAGCCTCTACCAGTTTTCTTTCCCATCCGTTTTCTATACATAGGACTGATGACTGGTGTGGTTGTCGATTCTGGAGACGGAGTAACGCATGTTTGTCCTGTTTACGATGGTTTCTCCATGCCACGCCTGACCAAAAGATTGGATGTCGCTGGACGGGATATCACCCGGTATCTGATTAAGGTCAGAATTTTTCAGTGGTTAATCTGCTTTCGAAATATCCTTATATCTGATTGTTTTAAACATGAATGAAGTTACTAGTATGGATAGTTGACCTTCCCCTTACTGTAGACGTTGAGCGAAGACCATAGACGATAAATTTTGGCTCCAGCAAGGTCCCGTTTTGCGCCTATTTGTAAATCCCCAAACAACTTTGCGAGAATAAACACCAGTCACGCTTCTTAACTAAACTTATCAATATTTTATAGTCTTTTTTGCTTTCTTATGACAATTGTTTATTTAGAGAGCTGATTCGATTTTTCTGTTTTGGGATGCCTAACCGTATCGTCACCGAGGCATCTTCATCTTTTTGAGAGAACTTCTCTTTCGGTTTTGTCTCCACTCAACCAAAGTTATATCATTCTGCTGTGGCATGCTTCGGTGTCCAGTTACGATACTTGAGGTAGTTGGGTGATTAAAGTTCACCTCTGACTGTTCGGTCACTTCCATCTGGGACAACTTGTTGGTACCTCCTCTAGGTTGCATGTTGTTTAAATACAGACTAACTTGCGAAAAAAATTGGAACCGCAGGAAGTGAAAGGAGTAACCTCGATGCTTTGTGATAACCGATATTCCCCATAGACAGTAGGCTTTGGAGACGTTGCGTGCACTTGCTACCCTTCAACGGAGGTCTAGCAAACTGACGCCTGTTTATGGTTTCAGCAATACTTCCACACGCCATTTAATGGTAAACTGTAATCAGGTTTTCAGTCGTCTCCCGAGACAGCAGTACTGTTTTGGAAATGACTGTACAAATTTGTAAAGCACGTTCCAGGCTTTCGGAGATGTAAAAAATCGTTCAGCCGTAACATTCTTCCGGTGCCTAGATGCCATGACACTCAAAGGAAAGAAAAGGGCTAAAATACTTCGAGGTTGCCCAAGCCTAAACTAGAGAAGTCGAGATGCGTACGTCGGGTTTGAACTACGGATCTTTCGGTCAATGAATTCGCGCTCTAACCACTGAACCATCGGAGATATTGTACATGACATCGTCAAATTAAGATACTTATTGGAAGTTCTTTAACCAGCGAGAGGAACAGGACAACTTGCCAATATCTTAGCCCTCGTGCTTCCTTTGGGCAGTATGCCTGCCAGGCACCGAAAGGATGTTGTAGCTGAACGATTATTTATTATTATTATTATTATTATTATTATTATTATTATTAGAGGTCTGACAATCACAGTCCTAGTTTTACAGGTTTGGGGTTAGCACAAGTGCGGTAATCCGTTCTCCAATATCCAGATTGCTGTGGTAGTCTTGCGCAACATGTGCCTTGTGATAATCATTTTTGAGTCAAAGGATTTGGTTGAAGACCCTAATCGTCGTCCTGTCTAGGATTGGGCACCCTGATGGCATCCCAGCTCAGGTACAGATAAAGTGCCCAGAAATGTGGATTCATGCCACATCGGCTGTCACGTGGTGACCCCAGCCGGGTCCCCCTTATTCGTCGCATATGTGGGGCGGACAAGCGAAAGCATATGATCGTCGACACCCATCTGTATTCATTATTCTTTATTACGTCCCATTTCACCTCATTTGGTAATCATTCTTCCGTAGAGCCCAGCTGTAGGTACGCCAACTTGACACTCAGGTGAGGGACCAATTGCACACCACTTCATTAATCACACCCCGTTTTGCCGTCTCAATTGCAGCCTTCAATGTTCGGAACCTTAAATAATCTGGTCAAGGAACCGCTTTTGCGTACTCTATCTATAGACATTTGCGGCACTTTTGAAACTTGAATACAAGATCCAAACTCAGTAATTGAGCTTTCGCAACCCGCAACTGCGAAGTTAAGGTGATTCTTCAGCTACATTTGCTGGTTGTCCCGGTGTTGGTATAGCTTTCGGGCTTGATTGCTCGCTTGATTGGATGTCCACAGTGGCCTTTGTCCACTTCTGTAGGGACTCGAACCGGTCGAAATACTAACCAACCCTTCTTCCAAGTTCGTGCTTGTGCACCAAACAACTGCGTTTTTGACTCTCTTAGCGTCACTTTCTACCGAAAAATATCAATTTCTCACCTACCGTGACCAGCTCAGGTATGGTATTCTAGGGAATGTCGTACCATTTCCCAGCGTGTCGTCTATATGGAAGTGAAACAGCAAAGTGCTCTCCGCAAACTTATGAACACCGCCTATCTTGATGTTTTCAGTTTTGTGGTTTCAGCCAGTAAGACTAACTTAAACCAACCCTATTCAACGGAACTTTCGAGAGTCTCAGAAACAGGTTTCAGTAAGCTGGTTTTCATGGATGATAATAGACTTCTAGAGTAACGTTGTTTGTGATAGTAGACTCAAACAATAGAACTTCAGTCTCCACTTTTCCTCACAGATCCTATTCAATCCAGCTTCAATTATTCCCTAGTGAGTGTAAGCGGTCGCCTGTGCTAGGTGGGATTAGTTAAACTGACTGAAAACGATTCACAATAGCCTAAACTCTACGAGAATGACCGTTACTCACCGAAACGTAGCAGTATAACACTCTTAGAATGTGAATGTCTGAGTCGTGAATAGGTAAAAAAAACACGTTTTGTAACCAGGATGTTAGTGTCAATGGCGACCATCAGGATGAGGCGTAGGTAATCGCTGGCAGACTGTCAATCGGAATGACAGACAACGACAGACAATGCAAACAACGACCTGGCGAACGATTCGACGAAAGTTGTTTTCAATGAAACCCAGATGTTAAAAGGAATTGCGAAGCTATAACGAAGGTGGGAATTAGTCGATCGATTTGTGGGTCCCAACCACTAGTGACCGTCGGTGGTTTGCCGGCAGTATCAGTCTTAACTAGCTCAGCACTGAAAATATGAATGTGTGGATAACATCGTTGCTGAATGTCATAGTATTGAACTAGTTATCATGTGACTGTTTCGTTCCCACGTACGATTTCGATGTGCACATGCATTATAAAGGCCTGGCGCGGGACTTTCCAGTCTGTACTTTGCTAGTCATTTTACTCAGCTCTTACTAAGGAGGAAAACAAACGAAATACACTCATTTGCCAACAAATTAGGTTTTGCGAGAGACTCACAAGAAAAACAAAGTTGTGTCGGGCAGGCCTTGCTGGTTTGCACCCATGTGTACTTTCTAGCCTACGTGGACAAAATCATTTTCACAGCCGTAATCATAAGGTTAGATGATTTTACGCAATGCTGAGGTTGTTTCAGCGGGATTAGAATTCGCGGAGCAGCTGACAGACAACCTTCAACGGTTGTGAGTCACTCACTGGAGGAACTCTTAACAATGGTTAGTGATTTTGATGAATATTGATGACAATACAGTTGTTGTTTGAAAATGCATCTGCATTATCTACACCTACCTCTAACATTAAGCAAACACGCTTATTAACCTCTTTGATGTAAGATTCCCTACTGAAGCTTCGCGCACCAGCCGGTGGATGAACGTTTTCCAGAAATCATCCTGTACTTTGTAGACCAGAAATTCAGCGGAGGATTTTGTTTCGGATGTCTCTTCACCGTGGTCGCATAGTCAATCTAACTGTTGGTCTTTACCTACCTCATGGACCGTCTTTTATATAGATAGTCCCAACGGTTCAATGTTCCTTTATGATATACGATGAACAAGGGGGGATTAAAAACCTTCACTCCTCGATTTGTGTTCTATGGAATCTTCGGATTCTCCTATGTGCTTCACATAGTTAAAATTAAATGAAGTCAAATTGGCCAGTCGTGGCACAGTTCCGGTAAAGGGCCCCTGCATCCCTAAGGAAAGACAGAGAATGAATCGTAATGCTTACCGAAGCAGGGGTGGGTTCGAACCTCGGCCTCTAGGTCAGCAGCTTGCGCTCCAAACAATCCGGGGTCAAATTTGATTTTGCTGTCCATTGCCCATTTATCAAGTGTAAGACTGCGTTAGCCGCCGAGATCCACTCTGTCTACGTGAGTTCATCTACTTTCTTTCTTGGGTAAGATCGCTTGTTCACATGTCCACACGACAGTAATTAATTTTCGAGCTGAAATTACAACCCACCGTATGAATTGTGTCAGTGAGTTGCTGTACTGCTTCGTTTCGTTTCTGTGATACCGGTCGATTGCCTTCTCCGTAAACTACCTTGTGTCCAATTTTGTTGCAGTCAGATTTTCCCATTTTAGGTGGCTCCCTGCTTATGTTTCGTTCTCTAGCTTAATTTTCCCAGCATTGGCTGGACTAAGTACAACCGAGTATTTGTTTGATTATATTTGGGTCTTTTCATACAGTCAGTTGTGTAACAATGCTGAGTTTCCTTTCTCTCACCCATCCCAGATTCATAATTAACCAGATTGTTGCGCACTGTCTTATATCTTTCTGTATCCAGCTTCTACTGCTTCGTGGCTACGCTTTCAATCAAACCGCGGACTTCGAGACAATACGCCAAATGAAAGAGAAGTTGTGTTACGTGGCGTACGATTTGGAGCAGGAGCAAAGCTTGGCTCTGGAAACTACTGTTTTGGTGAAGAAATACACGGTCAGCTGCTATTAATCAGATGTCTTTGAAATGTTTGCATCGACAACTGATGACGTTTGAGCATAAGTGCTCCGGTTTTCTAGTGTATCTGCGCAGTGTTCCAGCTGCTGGAATATGCCAGACCAGATCTGGTGCTGTGTTTAGTGACCAAGCACCTAGAACCATTGCCAAATATTTACTTAATTTCATAACTTATTCAGGGTCATGTGATAAACCCACACCTAATAAGTATCATGCATCTTTCAGGCCGTACCACTACTTATGATAAGTTTGTGAGAATTTTGCTCCCTTTTCTTCCGTCTTGCGAAGCTGCCGGATAAATAGATTTCTATGGTATGACTTTTCAACACCAAGGTACTTTTACCCATCTCTGGTGCGAGTTTCAATCTTTCGCACGTGAAAGTCCCACATTTGTCTCCGTCACCGAAGATTGCCGATATGTATCTCAGTACCGGTTAATTTTCTCCGATTATTTTGTCACAATCTATTTGTTGCATAGTCCACCACAGGAAGAGCATGATGTATGGTGTATTTATCCTCTTTGGGTTGGTTTGTCTTAAAGGATGTGTATCTCTCTAGGGAGGTTCTCTGTTGGGGCCGGTGTTTTGTGTATTTGTGAAGTTGTATTAGTGAGGTACATAACATACTTGGCTTGATTGAGATTCATGTTTTATTTATCATCCAGCGACCGGTTTCACCCTTCTTGGGGCCCATTAGTTAGCGCAGTCCACATGTTTCCGTGTTATAATTGGACGCAAATTGCTTCTTAAGTGGAGTGTATAGAGTTGAATGATACAGGAGTGCATTTTACCTAGAAAGTGCATAGTCACAGCATGTGTGCGTACTCAGCAGCGTGTTCGTGCACAGCAGTGTTGGTGTGTTCCTTGGTTATCTACGAATCACTATATATATAGATTACGCTCAGTTGTGACACCCTTCCGGTGCCTAGCTGCCATGCTACCCGAAGGAAGCACGAGGGCTGGGATACTGCCAGGTTGCCCAAGCCCAGACAAGGAAAGTCCAGAGGCAGAGGCCGGGTTCGAACCACGGACCTTCCGGTCAGTAAATTTGCGCACTAACCACCTGAGCCATCTCGCCTCATCCATCCTCTCATCTCTGTTCTGGAACCAGGTTTGCTGTCATTCACTGGTTAGCGTTAGAGTCATCCCACTATGTGTGCAACTGATCAGATTGTTCTGAAATACACTTGTTTGCAACGTCGAAGTGACAAACATTTTCACGTTTCTGAAATCCTGACAAGGTCAAACCCGCTTGTTTTCTCTTCCCTTACCAAATCATTGGTATCTCCAATCTTATTCGATTGTGATTTTCTCTCTAACTTTTTATTTCAGCTCCCTGATGGTAGGGTCATAAAAGTTGGTGGCGAACTATTCAGTGCTCCAGAGGCGTTGTTTCAACCTCATTTGATCAATCACGAAGGCGTTGGTATTGCCGAACTCTTGTTCAATACCATTCAGTCAGCAGATATCGATACCAGACCAGCTTTCTATAAACATATCGTGCTCAGTGGGGGCAGTACAATGTATCCTGGTTTGCCAAGTCGACTTCAGCGTGAAATCAAACAACTGTATCTACAGAATGTACTTAAGGGTGATACTGAGAGACTCTCTGTGAGTACCCGCTTCTTGAATGCGGCTTTTGTTGACCCGTTAGCATTATCGTATAGTATTAGAATCCGGAGCGTTCCTAGAGGCGATTACCGAGACATACCTTAGTGATTTTTTTAGTTAACGGCAACTGATGATTTTCATAAGACTAGTCCGCTTTTCAGATGCCCAATACCATCGTTGCCGATAATCGGTTATCGGAGACTCATTTACCGTTCTCAGTGCGTTTCTGAGTCTGACGAACCGTCGCGTGTTCAATCCATGTAGTCACGACTAACGGGAACTACCCTTGGATGTTCGAAACATTCTCCTTAATTTAACCCTATTGTTACCTTCAGAAACCGAAACTCTAATCGCAGTGATAATCTAGTTAAATATTTGCCCTGATGGCGATTGGTAGTTTGTCTTTATAGATTTACACATCTTCACGGGAGCCGGGTGGAGAACTTTTTACTGCATCCGCCATCTACACTTTGTTTAAGCTTCTCGAAACTTCCCGTAAACCCAGTTGTTGCGTATTTTGTAGAAATTCAAAATCCGTATCGAGGCCCCACCGCAACGTAAGCACATGGTGTTTCTGGGCGGCGCTGTACTTGCGAACATCATGAAAGATCACTCAAACAGTTCGTGGTTGACCAAGAAGGAATACGAAGAGAAGGGTCTGAAGATTCTGGAGAGATTAAATCAGCGTTGAAGTTTGCGATTCCTCTGCGTTCTACCGACCCACCCGTTGATTTGCTAATTATTGCAGTTCGGATTTATCCGTCAACCACTACTGACTTGTGAGCTGCGTATCCACAAAAGTATGACGGAGTTATAAATTTCTACTCTATATTTCTAACGCTTGTTCGTTTGCACGCCTCAGCTTCAATGTCTTTCTATAAACTTTGTATGACCAACTACAACGTACTGCACGATCCCAAGATAGCCATGACATCAGCACATTATGATGTACTACCTTTGTGCTTTTGTCGTTGATCTTTACCCGGATGATGCTCAGTACTTTTTTGTACTTCACAAGACACTTAACTTCTACACAACCAAATGGTGCTGTTCCTTTTTATCTGATCGCAATGAGATGGTTAGTGTCCATAAGATAAATAGCGTGGATGTGGGTCTCGAATGCACCGTATTTCTTTGCGGGTAAGTAATACCGCAGACCCTTACAGTAGGTAGTCCCCGGCTCCTAAAATGGATGCTGCATATGTACGGTGGGCATCACATAGGCATTCATCTTTTTATGCCAGTTTCACCAGTCGAATGGCGGCTGATGACTCTACCATTGCGGCTGCGCCATCCGGACAAACCGTAAATTCCTCTGAGTTGCACGCATTTGTTGAAAAATGTCACATGTTAGCCCTACTGGACAACGCATTATAGCTCGATTTCTATTGGAAGTTGCAATTTTCTAGTGGTCAACGTTATTTGGGTTCTTACTGAAGTCTGACTAGACAGCGCAAGAACCCCTCGTTTACAACGATCCAAACGATGGAAGTTGCAGGTCTCATGTTACTGTAATAATGTACCCCGGGTACAAATGTACAAAGACAGTTCATGTAACAAAATCCCCTAAAATTTTCGTCTGCGTACTAAACATTTTGATACATCCCGAAGGCATTTCCTCACAGTTGGACATTGTTGCACTTGAGCGACGAGATCAAAAGCTCGGCCAGCTAATTGGAAGCTAATTGTCTACGACTCCGTGTCGCATACGAAGAACGTTTTAAGCTTTATGTGTAATTTCTGCAGGTTGGCTGGATGGACAGTTATTTTATTATGCCTATTTCGTCTGCCTTAGAACTTCCGCTGTCACGAAGGGCATACATGTGTGTTGTTTTTTTAACGGCCTGGATTTCTTTGCTTTAATACCACTCTGGACATTCCACTACAGCGTTCACACTTCTTGTGGCTTATCGGGTTTCGGAATTTCCGCCACGTTTTTTCTTGAACACCTACGGTAAGCACTCATTGGTGAATTGAGTTGGTGTTGACAGGTGACAGCTGAAATTCACGTGAATTCCTCATTTCTAATATCCTCGGCTGAATATGCTTCACAAAGACCGCCTCATGAGTCAAGCTACTATAATTATCATTTATTTTTGAAGAGCATGGTCACAAACATAAAAAGTGAGTGCAAGCGATGGATGCGAAAGAGTAACAGGAGAATATGGGAGAAAAGAGAGAAAAGTCTCATTCGAAATCATGCCAAGGACAGTGCCAGTCTGATGAGGTGAATCCCAAAGTATGTAAAGATTTTGGAATGGGAACACACTACTACTACTACTCATAAGATCAATGAATACTGTAGTCGCATTCGGATTTATGATCACATAGAAACTGGTATATACTTTAAAACGATATAGGTATTTTCCTTGCCGAACCAAATACTAGTATACTGGTTAGCTGCCGAACCCCTGTATTCAAACACAATTTAGCGACAGTTGGATCAACTTTCATTCCATGGACATATACATCCATGACATGCATTGTCATTGTTCGAACTTCGTTGAACTCGACCTCAATTATTGGCCTATCACCGTCGTTCCATGTTTGCATCATCAGACTAATCGAACTCCGTTTACCTTGAACAATCTAATTGATGATCGGACTTAGAGTAGACTTATTAGCTTATTATGGAACATGTGAAATTAAACATGCATGGTATTCCAGAGCAAGTTACTCGACTCTGCGTCTACCGTTGCGTTTTAAGACTGCAGGAAATGAGACGCATGTGATCTATAAAAATGTTTCCAGGAAACAACAAGTGAAAAATTCGGTGTTCTCACTAATCTTCGACTAGACTGTCATTCCTAAATCGATACTCGTTAACAAGGTGTTCCATCGGTGTCTGATGATAACTGTGTGGAGTAGCCGAGCCATCGTCATTTCAAGTTTGAAGGGCAGGATCCTCTAAGGACTTGGACGATTTGGCTAATTACTAGACACGATTGAGGTGACCGTACCTGCAGATACTCGTAACGTTGGTTAGCAGAGTTAGGCTAACGACCATTAACCCCAACTATAGCAGGTCTCACAATTTTTGTATTACAAACAAGCCATGGGAACATTCGTTTGTGTGAAGGATTCAGTTGTGTAGCTCATTAGGCAGAATCAGGAACACGTATCGGAGGTAACTAGTGTAGATAAACTTGCATATCCAAGCTTCTCGTGGTCAGACAGATTAATTTTTATGAAAAATTTTCTTCAACCTCCCCGATTTATGAAAAATATTGGTCGTTGTTGGGTAGGGTTCGGGCCAAAAGCCCATAAATCGCGTCCGGTCCGTCTTGGAGGTTGGTGTGTCACCGATCGATCCAATAATAAAGTTTACGGAACCGGGACGAACTGGTCCCTTTATGGGGTGGGATGTCTCTACCTGATGGCAATACATTCGGGTTGGTTACTGGAGGCCGCAACCAACGGGGTGCTCGTGTCCATAGAGGCAGACGAAATACCGTTTATCGGCTATTACTATCCAATTACCCTAAAGTACTCACTTGCATATTTACGTCTTAGCGTGTAACTGTTGCTTTGTTGGTGGTCTGATATACAAATTATGGTTTAAAGGACTGATGATGATGACCATTGACAGCAATGCACTAGTAACACATTCACTGGCATTTAACTGTCATACACCTATTAGGGGGAAGTTTTTTGACGAAGATTAAAAAGAAAGGAAAAAGGCAGTGATTTAATGCGAAATGCTCTGTCTTTGGGAAACTATCAAGCTGCTCGAGGCCGAACAGCTAAATGTTCAACAACCGGCCGTAAAGTCGCGATTCCGAAATTCCTAGTTTCGTGTGATGCATGATGCTGATTTCCAATAAGGATAAAACGGCTCTACAGTGGTTTTCGGTTTTTCAGGATAGATTGGACTCACTGAAAGGACGAAATCAGAAATTACAAACTCTCCTCACACTACGAACGAGAGTAAGTTGCCTACACAGTTGGGTAGGATTGGAATCCTGTCGAATCAGGGAGCCGAATCGACCCAGAGTCCTTTGCGTACCTCACCGGACTTGAGTCTAGCGCACAACAGATGGGCTTTAGCTAGACAGTTCTGTGGGAAATGAGAGCATACTTGCCATCTTTCTGTAGGGTTCTCAACCACGTGCAAACAGGATCACGTGGTGCAAAGATACCGCAGTAATCAGTTTACCAATAGCCGCTTTCATTTCACTTTGCCATGTTATGTCCCCCCGCGAACCTTTCCTTCTGGGGTACACCGTGGTACTACATGCCCCAACCACCTCTAGTTTGATCCGCTGCTTTTGGAATTCCGATTCGTTACCACGCACCCGCTTGCGGACCACTTCACCGCGTACTGGCTGCAGCCAGTTGATAGCGGAGGTCAAATGTTTGAAAACGCCTAAAGTCGTCGATCTCTCAGCCGTAAGGTAAGACTTTGTATACACGGGCCCCTAGCTCCAGCGAAATTCGTTTTTCAATCTGTAAATGATACAAGATGGCGAACGCTGACCGCACCTTAGTCCTCCGCATATTTTTACAATACAGTCAGCTTGTGGAATTGTCAGGATATGTGAAACGATCAACAATTTCATGCTGTTCATTATGAAATTTCAGAGGGGCGCAAAAATACTGGAAACCGCGAAGGGAGACTTTGCACTTTGGAGATGCAATACGGATACTGAAATATGGAGCCACTCCCAATGCATTACCCAGGCTTGATCTCGACACACAGATCGGTCTCTTGAACTATACATTTCATGATAACGTAGGTGACAGATTCGAACGTCAGAAAACTTTTGAGTATGGAAATGTATGGCACGAAAAATGTTTACGAATTTCAAGGGTATCTGTTCCGATCAAGAATATTTGGAACAGCCTACCTGTCTACAGAACTAACCTAACCATAGAACCTATCAATGAACCCCGCCTATTCCCAACCTACCCAAAAGACGCCTTCAAGCAGAAAACTTTTGAGAGTGGACCATACCGTGGTGTGACGGTTTGCGCACCTCAGCGATCCATTGAGCTATACTGGAGAGTGTCCCCGCGATACTCAGAGAGTCCCTCATACCAGGTTGGTCAATGGTCGAAGGTCTGACGAACACAGTCTCCTGGCCCTCCAGGTTGGAGGTTGGAACATGTAGCGACTTATTAGTCAGTACCTCTTGGTGCTGTTACTAGCCAGGATTGCTCCTGAAGCAAGTTTGATTCACGGGCCTAAATTCAGATACCTCGTTCCAACATAGGTTGAATCACCCATAGATGTAGGATAAAGTTGTTTTCAAGCTCAGGTGAAAGCTGGGTTTTTAGTTTCCAAAGGACCGTGGATACGAAAGTAGTGATCCCGACTATGATCAGATAGGTGGTGTGGTTTACCGGGTGGTGAATGGGAAGAGTTGCGAAACATTGGGATGGTTCAGAAGATTATCCTACTCGGGTTTTATTTTGGGCCGGTAGATGTCTTACCAAAAGAGACCGATGCGTCCACCTGAACGCCCAGCTTGCTTGCTTTCCTACGCGAAGAAATGTCCTACAAATTGCTTTTTCTGTCATTTCAGTTTCACAATTGGCGTTTTGTTGTATCGATGTTTGTACTACTTTCTGGATGTGTCTCCACCAGCGTACAATAAAACCGTTTGCAGTGTGCCGACCTGACTTCACACGATGTGAGACCAACAGTATATTGATCCATTGTAGCCCATCACATTGCTTAAAGTCACCATCGTGATGGCTTATTTGCTCAGCGTTTTGTATGAAATAGATGTATTGGTGCTGTACTTCCTCATAGTCATGCATTCTTCCAATACGGGATTGATTTCCCCACCTATCCAGAACCACACAGAAAACACTGGTTATCCAGCTGTTTTATCTATGCCAGCGATGATAACCATTGCCATGAACTAAGTTCACCGGTCGACTCGCGTTTTTAATGTTACTAATTAGGTTCTGCGTCATCCCGCGACCTTACTTGATCGATACTTAGGCTTGAGAGCATGCGACAGTCGTGATTCGGAGTAACGCAACCGGATCGAGCAATTAGGATGAAGGGATGCACGCTATCGTAACACCAGTCAAA